CCACTGCCCCAGAGTCAAGACCAATTTGCATTCACCTGGGAGGAACAACAGATCTTTACCATCTTGCCCCAGGGATATTTGAATAGCCATGGTGGTCTTGAAGAGGTACATGTTTTCTATTTCACTGATGATATCATGCTAACTTCTGAGTCTTTTTTCAGCTTTCAAACTGTGCCCCCCACACCTTGCTGTTTCATCTTGCAAACAGAGGATAAGCCATAACACAGATAAAATCCAGGGTCAAGGCTTATCAGCCAAATACTTGGGTCTGCAATCATGGACAGGTGCAGGCCTACTCACATCCTGTGACACCGAAGCAGCTGGAAACTTTCGTAGGACTCGTAGGGTATGGGCATTCTTTTATTCCCCATTTGGCCCAACTCCTTAGACCCCTATACTGTTTAGACAAGAAGACACTGAGACTAATCTACAAAGGAGGATGAGAACTTTGAACAAGTTAAAGTCACAGTGAAACAAATATAAGCCAAGGGAATCCAGAGATGGCCTTGTGAACTAATGGAGCCATTATCCTGAGGGGTTTGGGTGAGGCTTGTGGCAAAGGCAGAGAATACATGTGTGCCTTTAGGATTCTGGTCCCAGCTATGAATAAAAGGTGAAGTTAGATATAGTGCCATGGAACAACAACTCTGTGCTATACATTACGCCTTACAAGTGGAGAATATTACAAAGGGGGTCCCAATGCTAGTACATACCCAGTACCCCAAAGCAGGATGGCTAAAGGGTATCTTCCAGAAACCAAAGTCTGGGAATGCCCAGACACAGACTGTGGCCAAATGGCATGCATACCTGCAACAGAGGAGTACACGAATAGCCCCTTGAGCTCAGAGCTCCATTCGGTGCTTGGCCCTGTCATCTATGTAACAACTGTCACACAGTCTTTGAAGGAGGCTTCTGAATCTCCATATATTCCCTCCTTCATATGGGATGGACAGGGCCCAATGTCTGACTAGGCCTGGTACACAGATAGCTTGTCACGAGGCAATCCTTGTACTTGGACAGGTATGGCCATTCGGCCATCCACTGACAGTATCTGACATGCCAAGGACATAGCAGCCAATGAGCTGAGCTGCAAGCTGTCTGGATGGACCTCCTCTATAAGCCAAACCCAACAGTCCTGTGTACCCACAGCTGGGCTGTCTGAAGTTAACAGGCACCCAGCATGACATTTTTTAAGGAAAATTGTGATTCTCCAACATACACTTCTCCCTGATTTCCAAAGCACAATATATCAATAAGTATTATCTTCATCAATACTGCCACTGATGCATCTGATTATGTGTGTGTGCATGTGTGTGTGTACTTTGGAAAAGTCTGATAGGATATAGTCATCCCTTAGTGTCTATGGGGTATTAGTCCTAGGACCCTGAGATACGAAAATCTAAGGACAGCTCAAGCCCCTTATATAAAATGGCACAGTATGTGCATATAGCCTATGTACATCCTCCAATATAATTTAAATAATCTCTAGATTACTTTTACCTAATCCAATGTAAAGCCACTCACCATGTGGCTACTATAATGGGAACCATAGGACTAGACAGTAGCAGGTCACCTCCTTTGGGGTACTGACATATAGAAGGATATTCCCCACTGCATCCAGGTGATGCATACAATCATCTACCATGTGTATCCCCATACTGCATCTACACCACCTGAAAAACAGGCAGACAAATTAACCTGCATTTGTCCCCTCAAGGGAGTCCCCACAGAAAAGGTGGTCAATTGGTTACAAAAGAAGACAGGACATAGGGGACAACTTACCCTTTGGGCCATAGCAAAGAATTGGGGCATGCCACTACGATACAAAGACACAGTACACATCTGTCAGCAATATCTTACCTGTGCACAGGAGCGCCATAGGCCCTTGCCACCTGATACCAGAAAGACCACTCAGGGCAAGAGCCCAACACAATGTTGACAGGTAGACTACATAGGATCTTTGCCTTTATAGGATGGCTGCCACTATGCCTTGACTTGTGCAGAAACCTGCACGGGGCTACTACGTGCATATCCCAGCAAGCATGCCACACAAAAAGCCACCATAAAACCAGAATAGCTGTGTGCAGCCTACAACGTCCCCATCAGTACTAACAGTGACCAGGGCTCACACTTTACCAGATATAAACTGCAGGAATGGGAAGAGGTCCTGGATATCCACGGTCATATCCACCTTCTGTACAACCCTACAGCAGTGGGGCTAACTGAACAAATGAATGGACTGTTGAAACAATTCCTATAGGAGACGTGCTCTCTGGCTCTGTGGACACGCTACTTATCAGCAGCCATGCACGACCTGAATGAACACACATGTTCTCATCACCCCATCACGTATATACTTCTGACACAAGGATGTGATACCACCGTCAGGATCCAGGTAGATCCTTGCCAGGTAGATACCTTTGCCCCCAACCTGGGACACAAAGTAACCTTCTATTGCCCTTGCCAAAGGACCTACCTACTGGGGGGCACATCATTACGTGGTTCTGGGAAATGGTAAACCAGACCCTGATGGTTCAGTTTTTCTGCTCCATGGGGAAGGGCCTATATCAGGATATACGGGTCACACCTATTTTACACCATACTCTCCAGCGTAATGCTAAAATAATGAATCCTAGTCTTCTCTTGTACAAGGTGATGAACATCCTTCCATGATGAAACCTTTTAATACCTCCACTGTCTTCCTCTGGCCTCCTGCAACACATTACAGAGGAGGGCCAGTTCATTTGGTATTGTAAACCAGGCATCAGGCTGCTGCTGCCAGGGGCAGTGCTCTCTCAGAATGACAAAACTCCCGATGTTTTGTTAAATGGCCAGGACTTGTCCTTTCTTGTACCCACTAAACATCTCATCTTTGGCCAATAGATGGTGTGCCACAAATCTCTTCACTGACTGGGTGCAGATGTGCTATCTCTCTCCAAAAGAAAAGAGACTGCTGGGTTTGTGGAGAGATGCCCCTCTCCTCCACTGTGGGCCTGCCATGCCACACCCAAGCAACTAACATTATACTTGGTATAATGACCTTCACCTATTTCCCTTCAGTGACAACAGCACCTCTTGCAGCAAGTTTCCCACCACCGACACGAGATGATGGCATATTTCCTGCTTGGTGAGGGAGCAAGTTAATGTCACTCTTGCTGTGGGTAGGCTGTACACGATGATGGGCTAGAGGGGATGACAGCAGTACACATAGAGAAAGTGGGTCATGCACCCCTCTTTGTAAAATCGCATGGCCATAGATATCTTAACTGCCCCCAAAGGGTGGAACCTGTGCATTAATTAAAACCTGTTGTGTATATATTCCTGATGACTTTCACAATTGTAACCCAGGCCATGCAGGCCTTAAATACCCTTATTTCCACTACAGAATCTAAGTCTTACAATCCTATAACCATGCGTTTTAACCAACTCCCAAGCCCTTGAAAAACTTTCTGTACAGTATGATTGTTATTATATTTGTTATTCTTTTTTGTTGTAGTTTATATTGGTACTGCAGCATCTGGCTGCAATGCTCCTCCACATACCTGGTCCCAAGGATATCATGACAGAATGGCATAAGAATGAGAGGGCCTTGGAGGGGTACACTGGTGCGGAGTATATGGTAGATGCACCTGACAGCAATAATTTAAGCATATCCTGAGAATGAATGACCCTGTATGGCAGATGCCCCTGACAGCAATAACTTGAGAAAGGAGGCTGCCATGTGGAAGTTGCTGGAGGGAGGATGCTAAGTGAAAATACTATACAAGCTGCATGCTTTATGAAAGTAATTGCAGTTCTCCTGTCCAGCCCACAACCACTGGACCACCCTATAAGTAAGGGCCGCCAAATAAGCCCTAAGTTTCATTCATTGGCTCTGGGTCTCTTCTTCAGCCTCTCAAACCTGTTACCATCCTTACTGAAGTTAACAGGGTTCCAGCATGACACTCAATTTTAAGGAAAATTGTGATTGTCTAGCTTATACTTCTCCCTGATTTCCACAGCACAATATAGCAATAAATATTGTCATCATCAATATTGCCACCAATGCATCTGATTACATGTGGGAGTGTGTGAGTGCGCACGCGCGCGCGTATGTGTACTTTGGAGAAGTCTAATACATAGTCATCCCTTAGTATCTATGGGGTATTGGTTCCAGGACCCCTAAGACACCAAAATCTAAGGAATGCTCAAGCCTCTTAATGGCTCAGTATTTGCATATAGCCTACACACATCTTCCCATATAATTTAAATAATCTCTAGATTACTTTAACCTGATCCAATGTAAATCCTATGTAAATATGGTTGACCCTTGAACAACTTGCGGGTCAAGGACACTAATCCCTGTGCAGTCAAAAAACTATGTATAACTTCTGACTCCCACAAAGCCTAACTACTAATAGCCTATTGTTGACTTGAAGCTTTGCCAATAACATAAATAGTTGATTAACCGTATTTTTTGTTATATGTATTATATATATATACTGTATTCTTACAATAGAGTAAGCTAAAGAAAAAGCAAGCTTTTTCAAATTATTGCAAATCTCCAAAAAAATTTCCAATATATTTATTTAAAAATATTCATATATAAGTGGACCCATGCAGTTCAAGTCCTCATAGTTCAAAGGTCCACTGTAGTTACAATACTATCTTTTTAAAATTTTTATTATTTTTTACTGTTTTATCTTTTTATTGTTTTGTTTTGTTTTGTTTTCTGTACATTTTCAAACCACAGTTGGTTGAATCCTCAGATGCTGAGCCCAAAGATATGGAGGGCTGACTGTATACACTATAATGGTGGTTATCCTTTAGAGGTAGGATTGAGTGATTTTTATTTCTTTTTTATAGTTTTCTGAATCAACTAGATTTTTTCAATAAATGTATTTTACAATTAGAAACAAAGCTACTTCCAATAAGGAATAAGCAAAATACAAATTATTTGTATGTAAATAGACTGGAGATAAATTCATCAATACAGACTCACCATAGCAAATCACACTCACCTGCTTCATTACACAAGACTTTCAAGTCGGCTCCAACATATCCATGAGCACTATTTGCCAGCTGCAGCAGTTCAGCCTCAGTAAGCAAATGAGGTACCCTTCGAAGCAGTTTCTGGAGAATATCTAGCCGGTCCTGGGCATTGGGAACTCCAATCTCAATCTCTTTATCAAATCGCCCAGGTCTTCGGAGTGCAGCATCCAAAGCGTGAGGGCGATTTGTGGCCCCAAGGACCAATACTTGTCCTTCACTTCCTTCCTAACAAAATAAAACAAAAACGAATTTCTTATTTTTCTGAAAGTTAGAAAAAAAGGGGGCATTCACTGGCTGTATAAACAAGGATGAATCATCTGACTGTCCAAGCTACTAAGTCCTATCCTACACTTTCATTACCTATCAATTACTTTTATTAGTAATGGATTTTTATTATGCATTTATTACTTTATTATACATTTTTCAATGTTCAGCCTAAATGCTTCCTCCAGTAGAAAGTTTTCCAATACTTACCTCTCCATTTACTATGATATCTCTTACTTCTCACATCTTTTTTTTTTTTCGGGGGGGGGGAGGAAGGCAGGAAGGAAGGGAATAAGGACGGTAGGGAGGAAGGAAGGGATGAAGGAAGGAAGGAAGGGAGGAAGCGGGGAGGGAGGGAGGGAGGGAAGGAAGGGAGGAAGCGGGGAGGGAGGGAGGGAGAGAGGGAGGGAAGGGAAGAAAGGAAATCAAGCAATGAAAGAGACATTGCCAACCTGGATCTAGAGGTTTACAAGTTGATTTCTTTTTTTTTGAGAGAAGGAAAGAAAAAAAAAAAAAGTAAGTAAAGGAGAGGAAGAGAAAGAGGGAGAGTAAATGGAAATATTGCTTTATTTTGAAAAAAATTGGGTATTAATAATGGCCAATCAATGTTTCATTTAAACTTATGGGTAGGTGTGATGTGGTATTGACAAGAATGTATATTTTGTGTATTTGAAGTGGAGAGCTCTATAAATATTTATTAAGTTTACTTGTTCTGGATCTGAGTTCGAGTCCTTGATATCCTTATTAATTTTCTGTCTCATTGAATCTAAGTCTCGTATCTGGGTGTTAGGATCGTTAGCTCTTGTTGTTGCATTGATCCTTTTACCACTATATCTTTGTTGCTTTAAAATCTATTTTATCTGATACAAGAATTGCAACTCCTGCTTTTTATTTATTTATTATTTATTTTTGCTCTCCATTTGGTTGGTAAATCTTTCTCCATCCCTTTGTTTTGAGTCTTTGTGTATCCTTGCACGTGAAACAGGTCTGGATGTAACATGCCGTTGGGTTTTGGCTGTGTCTTTTGATTGGGAATTCAGTCAATTTAAATTTAGGGTTACTGCCATTTGATGTTGACTGGCTGTTTTATCCATTTGTTGGTGTAAATTCTTCTTTATGTTGGTGCTTTTTATTTTTTGGTGTATTTTTAGAAAGGCTAATACTGGTTGTTTCTTTCTGTGTGTAATGCTTCTTTCAGAAGCTCTTGTAAAGCAGGCCTGGTGGTAATAAAATCTCTGAGTTCTTGCTTGTTCATAAAAGATTTTATTTTTCCTTCAGTTGTGAAGCTTAGTTTGGCTGGATATGAAATTCTGGGCTGAAGGTTCTGTTCTTTGAGGATGTTGAATATTGGCCCCCACTCTCTTCTGGCCTGTAGAGTTTCTGCTGAGAGATCTGCTGTAAGTCTGATAGGCTTGCCTTTGTGGGTTATCTGACCTTTCTCTCTGGCTGCCCTTAGTATCTTCTCCTTCGTTTCAACCCTGGTAAATCTAACGATTATATGCCTTGGGGTTGCTCTTCTTGAGGAATATCTTTGTGGTGTTCTCTGTATTACCTGGGGTTGAATGTTGACCTGCTTTGCTAGTTTAGGAAAATTTTCCTGAATAATATCCTGAAGGGTATTTTCCAGCTTGGATTCATTCTCTCCGTGGCATTCAGGTACACCTATCAAACGTAAATTTGGTCTTTTCACATAGTCCCACATTTCTTGGAGACTTTGCTCATTCCTTTTTATCCTTTTTTCTCTAATCTTTTCTTCACGTTTTATTTCATTAAGTTGGACTTTGACCTCTGATATCCCTTCTTCTGCTTGAACAATTCAAGTGTTTAAACCTGTGCATACTTCTCGGAGTTCCTGTATTGTATTCTTCAGTTCCATTAATTCACTCATACTCCTCTCTAAGTTGTCTATTCTCAATAGGATTTCATCAAACCTTTTTTCAAAGTTCCTAGTTTCTTTACATTGGGCTACAACATGTTCTTTTAACTCACCGAAGTTTGTTATTATCCATTCCTTGAAGAGTGATTCTGTCATCAGGAGGCACTCGTTCTCCATCAAGCCTTGTTCCATTGTTGATGTGGAACTGTGATCATCTTTAGAGGGAGAGGCGTTCTGACTTTGAGTATTCTCAGCTTTTTTACGCTGGTTTCTTCCCGTCATTGTAAATTTATCCTCCTGTTGTCTTTGAAATTACCAACTTTCAGATTAGGTCTCTTGAGTGGACGTCCAGGTTGTTAGTTCCCAGGGCCAGAGCAGCGGCGTTAAAACTGATGGTGCTTTTCTGCCCAGGATTCTCCTGTCGGGCTTCCTTCTTGTGTCCGTAGTAGGTGACTCTGCCTTCCCGGGGCTCCAAACCTCGGTCAGAAGGGGAACCGTTCCCGTTTACTCTGCGCCGAGCGCTGCCGCCTCGAGGTGCCGGCGGAACCACTGCGCCGACCACGAGAGTCGCGCTGGCGACTCATGTGTTTCCACCACTGGGGGATCTTCTGCTTCGTGAGCGACCAGACTTTGTCTGAAAGTGTGGCGTCCTCTAGTTCTCCGCGCCTTCCCTGAGAGCTGCAATCCCGGGATGTTAGCGATCGGCCATCTTGGATCGTTCTCCCACTTCTCACATCTTAACTGTATCATTCTCATAAAAGAAAACATATATATAATACTGTACTATATAATTGTTTTAACTGTTTTAAATAGTCCTTTTCCCTACTTGGAAGTCAGGATTATGACATACATAATATTAGAAAAGAACAAGACTCTATTAGAAAGTTATCTAAAAAGTCTTCACTTACAGACTATTTTTTAATATGGATACGTTTTTAAATTCCTGAAAATAGAGACAATATAACCTATATCCAAGTATCAGCCCCCCTTGAATACGCAGGTATTTTTACTCTCTGGAAATGAAATTAGGAACAACAAATAATAAAGAACTATGATCATGATCAGCCACCTGTAGAAATTATACAATATTCTATTCAGATGACCCAGAGACAAGCATAACTAGGATATGATTTATGTTAAAAAATAAAAAAGAAAGCTCAAACTAAATCAATTACATTGCAAGTGCCAACAGATAATGCATGGACTACAGTGAATCTACGAATTATAAGTTTAGAAGTACAAAAACAGGCCTTTAAATATATTCAGACTAACACCTCAGCATCACATGTTTCCATTCCTTACCCAAAGGCAAGAACACTAATCCACAACAGGCTTATCCCCGTGGCAGAGAAAGAGACAGCAGACTGAAATAATTAAGAGTCTCCAACACTAAGCCTTTGATTTGATGTCTTACTTACCAAGAACCCTTGTAATTATAAGATAGCTCTCTATATTTGCCATCAAGGTGAAAATATGGTCATCCATAAATGCAAACATTTGGTCTGCTTAATAGTTATATCTCTTACTGTAAATGGACAAACTAGCATACTATTTTATACATCATTCTCTTATAAGTGTTATCATGGGTCAGTCTGTCCTCACAACTCTATCATCTCCAACATACTAATAACACTGAATTCTCCAACTTCATAACCTGAGAATCAAACCTGGAACATGACAATCACTCCTAGGTACTGTTCCAGGACTGAGAACCAGGTAGTGAGCCAGTCTCCACCAGGTGATAGCCCTTCTCTTACAGGCTCTTAAAAAAATTATTAACACATTAGTAAATAATAGCAACTTAATGCCAATCCTTTATATTATTTTCGCATGTTTACTTTCCATCACCAAAGAGTAAAAAACAAAAGTTCTAAATGACTGGTTTTTTAATGTACAAAAGAGACTCTACTAAAATTACAAAAAATAAATAAATTAGCCGGATGTGGTGGTGTATGCCTGTAATCCCAGCTACTCAGGAGGCTGAGGCAAGAGAATCACTTGAATCTGGAAGGTGGAGGTTACAGTGAGCCAAGGTCGTGATATTGCACTCCAGCCTGGACCACAAGGCAACACTCCATCTCAACATAATAATAAAAATGAAATAAAATAAAATCCCCTAAAATTTAACTGCTCAATCTTCCTTACTGATCTTTGCTTCAGGTTTTAAAGTTAACAGCATCTATCACAAAACAAACCCATCATGGTATAGTATTTTATGTGCTAGAAAAAACACGCCAGGTTATGATGTTGTCCTAGCAGTTACTAAGTAATCAACTGTAACAAATTATTTTACAGGTCTTTCCTCTAGTTGCTATGGCTAATATTTTGCCCTTATCCTAAAATATCCAAAGACTCTGACACATTGAACAGTTTTTGCCCCTACATATGTATTAAAAGAATTAACCCTACACAGAATCAATACTAGCGCTATACTTACCGAACCAATGCCATCCATTAGTGTTAAGAGTGAAGCCACAACTCTTTTCTCCACTTCATTCTGAGCCCCCTCTCTTTTCGGACAAAGTGCGTCCAGCTCATCAATAAAAATAATTGATGGGTGCCTAAAAACAAACAAGTAAAATGAAATCTCTCATCTACATTTGATTATGAATTTTACTTAGTTTCAATTTTAATTGAAACACAATATATCAAATTTAGAATTTACTTAATATTATAAAGATATTATGTTAAGCTAAAAAACCTTAGAAATGCTAACTCACTAACCTCATATTCTATCTACCCCATTAAAAGTCTGGGTAACTGAGTAGAGTCTATTGCTTAAGAGATGAGAGTCTCTTAAGAACTCTCCCAGTAATGCCCAGAACTCTTCCAGTAATGCCCATTAAGTTGTTATGACTGGATCAATTCAGAAGCTGAGGCCAGAGATACTGTCCCTTTGAGTACATTTAAAACCAAAGAACATAAACTAGAAATGCTGTGTTATTTTTAAACTATTAAAATAAAAATTTGTAGCCAGGTACGGTGGCTCATGCTTGTAATCCCAGCACTTTGGGAGGATGAGGTGGGTGGATTACAAGGTCAGACATTCCAGACTAGCCTGGCCAATATAGTGAAACCTGGTCTCTACTAAAAATACAAAAAATTAGCCTGGCATGGTGGTAGTCACCTGTAATCCCAGCTACTTGGGAGGCTGAGGCAGGAGAATCACTTGAATCTGGGAGGCAGAGGTTGCAGTGAGCCCATATCACGCCAACTGCACTCCAGCCCCTAGCAACTGAAGGAGACTCCATCTCAAAAAAAAAAAAAAAAAAAAAAGATGTGAATTCTCTTACAAAAGGAAATCTCAACTGCCATGAAAACAACAAAAGCATACTAAACAATAAGGTGTACCACTAGTTTTCAAATTTTTAGTACAGTACTAGGACTACAAACTGCTTTTTTCATCTACTATCATTGGGGGGGAAAAATAAACTTTAAAAATGGCAGTTTTTTTGATTCAAGAGCAGTAATTATGATGTTAAACACCAAAACAGCCAGCATTTTAGGAGGCTAAGGCAGAAGAATGGCTTGAGCCCAGGAGTTCAAGACCACCCTGGCCTACATAAGACCCTGTTGCTGGAAAAAAAAATACAAAAATTAGCTGGGCATGGTGGTGCTCACCTACAGTTCCAGACACTTAGGAGGCTACAGGGAGAGGATCACGTGAGTTCAGAAATTTAGGTTTCATTGTTACACTGTAATTAGTATTAAAATATGGTTTACAACTTGGTCTAATATAACATTACTCATAATATGGCTATGTCTCTACCATTGTTTTGATTTTGCTTGTTCATTTGTTTTTGAGATAGGGTCTGTGTTGCCTAAGCTGGAGTGCAGCAGTGCCATCATGGCTCACTATAGCCTTGATCTCCCAGGCTCACTGATCCTCCTGCCTCAGCTTTCCGAGTAGGTGGGACTACAGGCATGTGCTACCATGCCCAGCTAATTGTTTTTATTTTTAAACAGACAGGGTCCCATTATGGTGCCCAGGCTGGTCTCAAACTCCTGGGCTCAAGCAATCCTTCTGCCTTGGCCTCCCACAGTGTTGGGATTATAGGTATGAGCCACCATACACAGCCAGAGTTGTTATTTTTATTTTTTTTGAGATGGAGTCTTGCTCTGCTGCCATGCTGGAGTGTAGTGGCGCAATCTCGGCTCACTGCAACCTCTGCCTCCCAAGTTCAAGTGATTCCCCTGCCTCAGCCTCCTGAGTGGCTTGGACTGCAGGTGCCCACCACCATGCCCGGATAATTTATTGTATTTTAGTAGGGACGGGGTTTTACCATGTTGGCAAGGGTGGTCTCAATCTCCTGACCTCATGATCTACCCACCTCGGCCTCCCAAAGTGCTGGGATTGTAAGCGTGAGCCACCATGCCCGGCCCAGAGTCATTATTTAATGGGCAAAAGATTTTTTCCCTTTGAAGCAAAGTATAACACAACAAAGTTCTAGCATAAAGAGCTACAATAATACAGTCTACTAGAATAACTAAACATATTAGATACACCTAAGCACCTAAAGAAAGTCATGGATTCAAAGGCTCAAATAAGGTCACATGACTTACCAAACATACATCTTAATTCTTCTACTTTATGTGATTTAATAACATTTATCAAACTTTTAAAGATTTGATAGAAATAGACCGAATTTCATTAGATCTACAATCTATTTCTACTATCACTATTATTTTTGTACTGTTGTTTATGCTTTGTATAAAGTGCTACATTCTTACTTTGACTAATATTGCCTTGATTATTAATTCCAAAACATTTAAAAATAAAGAGTACCGTAGAGTGGCTTCAGCAAATATCTGACGTAACTTCGCTTCAGTCTCACCATAGAATCTACATGAAATAAAATACATTTAAAGATCATTTCTCGTTGTTTTCAAAGCTTTGTCTATAAAAGCTAATCCAAATTTTCAATATTTCTATAATACTTAAATTACTTTCAAAAATCATTTTCCAAACAAGTTTTATACCTTAAAAAGCAAAATATTTCAATGTACAAAAACATCAGAGTACCACAAAATCATTTTTAAAAACCACATTTTAGAATCATGTACCTACTTGCTTATAATTTCAGGACCATTAATTACAGAAACATAGGCTCCAACTTCACTAGCCACAGCCCTGGCAATCATTGTCTTTCCAGTACCTGGAGGGCCATAAAGTAACACTCCTCTAGGAGCAGGAATTCCTGGAAGAAAAAGAAGAAAACACTAGATTCACCATTACTAGGTTTCTTATAAATGTTGTCATATAAGTTCAAACATGAGTTATAAAACGTAAATTTACCTTGCATCACAGAGTCAAGAGTTTTTTCTACCCTTCCAAAAAGATGTACTAACTAGCCCATACACTAATCCCCAATAATGACTCTCTCTCTGTAGACCACAGATCAAGACGAAGCATGTCGGTTAAAAAAAAAAAACAAAAAACTAGACACCCACATTGTTCCCATGCCCCATCCCACACAACACAGTTCAATGATCAGAAAACAAAGCCCAAACAACATAGGCAGACATGCCACCGATCCCAGTTTTCTTCCAACTAACCATCTTGAAGAGTACTTATGCTTACTCGTACATAAGGTACATAAGTACTAACAAAATGCCAATCCAAGGGTTCATTTTACATATACATATATGTATGTATTTGTAAGATTCATGAGAAAGGAAAAAGCAGAGAGATCGAATGTACCAAATACATGCAAAGGATCTTGGCAATAACAATGCAGCAGAAGCCCTGAATTTCCTGACTCAAACCATTCCTTTAATTACCTGCTTCAGGGCAAAGTGATGGGTACACAGTTACATTTCCTAACAAAGAAGTTTTCTCTAATGTTTTGAATGGTTTATTTCTTCAGTCACTACAGATGATCCAGCATGACAAGATATTTATTATTCTAGAGCTCATACAGGTAATGGTGGAAATGCACTATTAGAAAAGACAAGGCTGTCACTAATTCACATTACAACCTAAAGATACCAAAGCACAGAAAATGGCCTGTTTAAACTGGCATCTCCTAAAGCAACTGACATCTCCTACCATACCTACCACTCAGGAAATAAAAACAGGAAAAGAGGATGAACAATCATTAGACAAGTGTCAACTGTCTTAATTTGAATCTAACATTTTTGGTTGCAATAAACTGAAGAAATCATACCATAACTCTTGAAAAGTTCTGGCTGTTTGAGGGGCAATTCAATTATTTCTCTAATTGCTTTCAGCTGACTACTTAAGCCTCCTATCATGTCATAAGTTACTTTGAATGGGTTGTCTTGCTCTTTTGAATTTTTATCAATCTTTGTAAAAATGACTCTTGTTGTTGAAGAAATAAAATAAAAAGTATCAGTATTGCACTTTGCTCCCATGCTGAACTTTAGCAGTCTTTCTTCTTTGATAAGTTGCTCATTTCCTTCTCTGGCAGATTCAGAACTACATTTAAGACCTGTGACTTCCTCTAGCACAAGTCCACTGTCATCTCCAGGGCTCTGTGTAACATCCAACAAAACATCACTGGTTTTATTTATAATTCTCTCATCAACTGGTTTACAAGGAGTACTTCTCGATGATGGGATCCGGGTCTCCTCCAGATCTAACTGGCTTAGCTGTAAGGATAACTCGAGGCTACTGGTTTCCATGCTGGACTGTTCAAAGGCCATTCTTTGGGCATCGGTGTCATTCTGAGGCCCTCCCAATATCATGCCATCTGCCCCTTTCACTCGCAATACTTGCAACTCGCATGGTCGTCCATAAAATGTACAATACAGAAAGTTGCCTGGTAAAATAATCTTGCCGTCTAGAAAATAATTTATTAAGCATACATGTTAGCATAATATTTTTACCACTTTAATGTTTAAATAGTAATATATTTCATCAACCATCTGACTGAAAAGACTAAATCAAAGATGGAGTATTAATAAAGTAACTGTCATAAAAAAACTGAGGACCTAATATTCCCCTATAATATAGCACCATCTGGAGATAGAAGGATAGGATGACTATCTGAAATCTTCCATACTCAGTACAGCTCAGATTCTATCAACCACATCAACAAACAGCAGGGCATTCCACATTCAATAATAAACTAAACCCAAACCAACACTCCAAAATAGCATCACTCAACTGAAAGGGCAAGAATGCAAGGGTTAAAAGTCCCAGATCTACCACTAACTCTTTCCACAGACAAAACATATATTCTTTCCACTGCTTGACTGCCAATTAACAAGGAAAAGTAACACATCCCTATCTTAAAAGTATATTCATTCACTGAGGTGAATATTCTCAAAGCTATTTTGAAGAAAACTACTATGCATATATAAGCCCTCAAAGACACTTTATTTGCTGATGCCTTGCACCTTAAAACTTAAGAAAACAATTTAAAATATCTGTCTCACCTAGTTTTCTCAGGATACAATCAGTCAGTTCTTCTTCATTAATTTCCATATCTTTGTCACTGTAAAAGGATGAGAAGGGGACAGAAATCAGCATTAGGTACACCAGAAACTAAACTGTGGTGTAAAATTATATGTATATAGTTATAATATAGACTTAAAAGAATAATCCATCTGCAACCTTAAAATAAGTAATGTATACAACTTGGAAGTGATTTACATTGTTCAGAAGCTTATAGCCATGAAAATATCATTTGCAATCTGGTGCCTTAGTGGCCTAAATCAATGGTCTTCAAAACACAAGGGTAAGGTAAATCATTTCATTCAGCCCCATCCAGCACTTTTTTAATAGAGTAAGAAATGCAGGGCACACTGAATATAGAAACGGTAAATACTGCTTTGTAAAACATTAATTTCTAACACATACATACACACACGCACACATAGGTGCACTATACTTATGGATGTGTATATACAAAGAATCATGATGAAAAATGCATTTTTATTAAGTGTCATAGTCAAAAACATTTTTCAAACACTGACCGAAACTAATAATTCCCTTTAGGAAGTTGCATAGTTTGGAGAAAGGCTCTTATTAATAACTTACTTCACTTCCTTAGTATGACTTATAAATTATTTCTCCAAGAAAATTAAGTCCTATATAGTACGTTACTTGAAGAGGCAGAAGTAGGAAAAAGGGGAGTAATGGTTACAACAAAAGATTTTTCTGAAGAAAGAGCATGACTGAGGAAAAATGAGATCCCCTTCTTCCTATTAACTGTGTATCCCCAGAGTTGCTTAAGCGCAAGAAGTGAACGCACCTAAATACCATGCATCTGTAAAGAAACTTGCTCTTGGAGAGTTCTCAGAGCATGAGCATTTTTCCTCCTCCTCCATGCATATGCAGCCCATATCAGAAGGGGTGACAAACAGCTGTCTCATTCTGTCAGTGACCAGTGGAGGGGGGACAGTTTAGCTCAAGGGGAAGTGTAAGTGGAAGCCAAGCATAATGGTTCATGGCTGTAATCCCAGCACTTTGGGAAGCTGAGGTGGGTGGATCACCTAACCTCAGGAGTTCAAGTCCAGCCTGGGCAACATGGCAAAAACCCATCTCTACAAAAAATACAGGCCAGGCATGGTAGCTCATGCCTGTAATCCCAGCACTTTGGGAGGCCAAGGCAGGCAGATCACAAGGTCAAGATATCAAGACCATCCTCGCCAACATGGTGAAACCCCATCTCTACTAAAAATACAAAAATTAGCCAGGCGTGGTGGCAGGCACCTCCTAGCTACTCGGGAGGCTGAGGCAGGAGAGTCGCTTGAACCCAGGAGGCAGAGGTTGCAGTGAGCTGAGATCACAGCACTGCACTTCAGCGTGGCGACAGACCAAGACTCCATCTCCAAAAAAAAAAAAAAATGTGTGTATATATATTTTCTTTTGTATATATGTGTGTGTATGTATATATATATTTATACATATTAATTAATAATTATATAATTAATTATAATATATAAGTAATATATATTTATAAATATGTATATATAAAAATATATATACATACACATATATACAAAAGAAAACATATATTTATACATATATGTATAAATACACACACACACACACACACATATATACAAAAGAAAATTATCATCGCTGGATGTGGTGGCATGTGCCTGTGTGCCCAACCAGTCAAAAAAAACTTTGTTCTCCAATCACTTTTTTTACTTCTTGAGATGAAGTCTTGTTCTGTCACCAAGATTGGAGTGCAGTGGCGTGATCTCTGCTCACTGCAACCTCTACCTTGCAGGCTCAAGTGATCCTCCCACCTTAGCCTCCACAGTAGCTGGGAACACAGGCACTCATTACCATACCCAGCTAAATTTTTTTTTTTAATTTTTTGAACAGACAGTGTTTCACCATGTTGCCCAGGCTGAACTCCTGAGCTCAGGCGATCCACCCATGTCACCCTCCCAAAGTGCTGGGATTACAGGCATTTCCAATCACTTTTACCAGTAATAATACAATATAGTCAATCCTCAATACCTGTGGATACTGTATCTGCAAATTTATCTACTCCCAAAAATTTATGTGTACCCCAAAATCAATACTCATGGAGCATTTCTGGTCATTAATGACACGAAAAAGCAGCAAAAAATTTGGGTCACGCAACACTCATGTTACTAGCTTATGTAGGATAAAGTGACACTCTGCCTTGTTTCAGCTCTCATTCAAAGATGACCAAAGAATGAAAATGATAGGGGACACAGCAGTGTAGTCAAGAAGCTCCAGGCCTGGAGCCAGTTGGAGAGGGTTTAAATCCTGTAGTTGGGCAGCCTCAGGCAAGTCCCTTAACACTTCTAAATCTTCTCTTCTCTTTTGTAAAATAAAGAAGATAAAATCTACCAGAATGAATTATTTTGGAATTTTAAGATTATAATCTATGTAAAATGTATATACATATATTTATTGTGTGCGTTGCACATGTACACACACACACATACACACACACACACAGGTATTTCCCTGTAGAAGAAATGGTTCAGTTTATGCTAACAGTGTTCATGGCAACTTTAATGGAACATAACTAATCACAAATAATGAGAATCAACAATATATTCATATATAAGAGAGAGCATAAAAGAAACAGAATGAGGAGGAAATTTCATTAATGAAATATATATATTAACTAATGAGAAAATGTATCACCTTAAATGCTTACATTTACTTCTGTGTATGGAACTCTAAACCAAGTTATACTTAATCACTTTCATTTATTAAACTCTAAATACAAGGTATTTATAAATCTATGTAAGAACAGTAAAAATACCAAACCAGTTTTGCTTTTAAAAAAATAATAGTTGCACATAAAATAATTTCCACTAGAAGGAGCTCTAACATTACTCTTAGCAATAAAATCTTTCAGTTGCAACTGAAGGATTTAAGCAGACTAAAATAACTGATTTTCCCAATTGGAAATTAAATATCTTGCCTATACTCAGCTGTCACATTTAAAACATAAGATTTTTTAAAACAAAATTTTAAAACTTGAGCTTTCATTTAAAACATATACAGTCCTCTATAATAAGCAATCATTAAACATCTAAGACTGCTGTGCATTCAAGAGGTCTGATTACTTTGCAGATCATCACAAATGCTAATTCCAGTCAACAAATTACTGCTCCCTTTAGCACTGTTTTAAGACATAATCTGAGGAATAATCCAGTTTAATCTGAACAATACTATTAACTACCTCATAAAATATTAGGCAAGTTATTTCTCCTCATTAAGCTGTTTCATCTGTAAAAAAAGGGAAAGGTAAATGTGTATGCGTGTATGTGCACATAAATACATGCAATATGTACAAAGCTTCTATATGCAGCTGGTACTCAACATGTTATCTTCTGTCCTTTCTGCTTTTTATTGTTCATTAAACTGTTACTATAAGCTCTGAAAACATTTTCCTGTTATAAAGGGAAAACTATGCCAAAACTCAAGTCTAAAATCTACAATTGTAACAAAAGAGAAGGAAACATTTTAAAATCAAGCTGATGACTAGAAAATAGTTTGTGGGACTTACATATAATGTAAACACATCTCCCAAACTATTACTAAGATGACATTAAAGTATAAAAAGATGCTTTTTGTAAATTACTTTTGATAAGACTGTATATGCAAACTGAATCAAAATTCTATTATAGAATATCCAGGAGGATGGATAATATACCTTAACTATCTTTATAGGTAGATTCAAACAATTAGCCTGTGGTGAGGGATCATTTTAAAATCTGATAGTAATGACTGTTTGTTTTACTACACTGAATAATCAGCAAGTTAAAATATACAATCAGGTTCTTTGCTTGCATAGTCTTAATTAAAACTTGTTTCTGTTTGACTCATAGTAATCTACTTTTTTCTTTACAATTTTAAAAAAAGAAGCCCTGATTATACTGTAAGCCAAGGTAAAAAATACTGCTAAATATTCATCAATGAAAATTACTCTCACCTAAAATGTCAGGGCATACTCTAATCATGAAAAATAAAAGTCCTTATTCTATAAATTATAACGCACTCATTTAGCTTGTGTTGTCTAATATAACACAAGTAGCCACTAGTCACTCATCACATGTAGCTGTCAACTGCTTCAAATGGGGCTAGTACAAACTGTGATGTGCTTCAAGTATAACATACACACTGGATTTTGAAGACTTAGCTTGAAAAAAAGGATGTACAATATTTTATTGGAAACTTTTTTCTTTCTTGAGACACGGTCTCACTCTGTCACCCAGGCTGGAGTACAGTGGCACAATCCTGGCTCACCGCAACCTCCGCCTCCCAGACTCAAGTAATACTCCTGGCTTAGTTCCAAACATCTGGGACTACAGGTACACACCTCTATGCCCAGAAATTTTCTTTTTTTGTATTTTTTGTAGAGACAGGATTTCTCCATGTTGCACAGGTTGGTCTCGAACTCCTGAGCTCAAGAGATCCACCTGCCCTGGCCTCCCAAAGTGCTGGGAGTATAGGCACGAGCCACCACACCCGGCCCTTACTGGTAATTTTTTATAATTACATATTAAAATACATTTTTACATATATTGGTTAAATAAAACATAGTATTATAATTCATTGCACCTATTTCTCTCTACGTTTTAAAATGTTACCACAAAAAAATGCAAAATTACATATGTGGTTTACGTTTGTGACTCTTGTTACACTGCTACTGGGCAGCTTTGATCCAGAGAGTCTCCAAAGAAAAGAGCCAAACCTCAGTGCCACATCCATTTCCTCAGCCTGTAGCACAGCACCCACAAGAGGCTGGACCTGGATGGCATCACCAGGCCTCACACCCACATTCTTCTGTGCCATTTCACTCAGGCCAACCTTGCCTCCAGGAAATCCTGCGATAGGCCAGGCTGTATAGACCTGCCAGACAGAGGAAATAAAAATGTTAGAAAATAAATATTCATAGACCACCATCAATTTATAAGGAAGAATGCTAAGCACAGTCAAGTATTTAGATATGCAAAATACAGCCTTTACCTTAAAGGAGTTATCACCTGACACCAACTGCAATAAGATAAATTGCATTTTTAAAACAATTTAAGTACGACATGGGCTCAGGAAAAATAAACTTTATAATAAATATTGTTTCTTTTTCTAAAGATCAAGAATTACCCCACAGTGAAGATGGTAGAAGACATGAAAGGTAGATATAGAAAAAAAGATAAAGGCATTAACAGGTGATAATAAGAAAAATGACAAAATATTAAGGCAAGATAACCTGTAAAGTAATCCAGACTGGAAATTAAACTAGAAAAACATCCAGGAAATAGTGAGGAACATAGCACAAGAGCTTTGTCAGAACCTGAGTCTTATCACATTTAAATGTTGAGCGAAAGGAGCAAAAATTACTAGCTTGAGCTCACACATTTATAGCCCTCTCTTCTACAAGACACAGTAAAGGACCTTTAACGTATAAGCCAGAAAAATGATAAGAACAGGAGTGGTGTCATCAGCAGACAAAAAATTTCAAAGTATTTCCAAAGGATCCCCAGCAGATCACAGAAGCATCAGAGGAAGCCATGAAAGAGAAGAGGCTGGTAGCAGAGAATAATGCCAAGCTGCCAAAAATGATCCAGGAAAGGGTTCCAGGCTTAGTAGGCTTGGAATCTCAGATACGAAGAATGACAGCAATAAGAAACAGCTGAAACTAGGGAGAACAGTAAAATATTTGTATACAGAACAGGTGATCTTCTTACTCCAAAATAACATTTTTTATAAAGAAATATAACTAACTGACAGGGAGAAATACCATCACCAACTCCGGAGGAAACACTTCTCTCTACATCATAACCTTTTAGGGGCTACTATTCCCAGCAGAGTCATACACAGAAAAGGAAAAGAGAGTTAATATGCATGTTAATGTCTTTTAAAATACAGTTTTTCATTTATTCCTGGTTGTGTTAAAAATTAAAAACAGAAATATGTCAAACACAGGTTGGTTACCTTATCCAAAATGCTTAGGGCCAGAAGCATTTGGTATTTTCCATTTTGGAATATTTACCTTATGTTTACTAGCGAAGAATCCCAAAGCTGAAATCCAAATGTTCCAATGAGCATTTCCTTTGAGCACCACAGCACTCAAGAGGTTTCAAATTTTAGAGCATATCAGAGTTTAGATTTTTGGATTTGCAACGTTCAATCTATATTTCTAAACTAAGGAAACGAAAAAGACTCTTACCTCTTGCTTTCCATTCAAACTAGTAAGCAACACTGGTCGACCAATACATATACTTGCAGACTTCATAGTGTTGAGTCCAAGATGAATAAGGAAATTCTGGAATGTTTTAGGAATTTTGCCATCTACTACGAAGGAAAAGAAAATTATTTTTGTACTACTTTGTAACTGAAATTAAAGCATGCTATCTTTTGCAGTAAATAAAAATCCTCTAACCATATAACCACATGAATATACTTACCATACCCTGGAGAAACTAGTGGTCCAACTTCTGTTTTAACAAAAAGATTTAGAACCAAAGGCTTTTGAGGGTCTACTGGCAACATATGAAGTATTAACTAAAAAGAAGATGTTCTATGGAGTGAGAATGGGTTCCATTTCTTCTTTTTTGGTCTCTCATTTCATTAAGAACTAAACATAATTGCAAAAGAGGGTCCCTGAGCTTTAAGTTCAAAGTCAAGTCAGCTAGTAGTATTCAAAAGATTGAACTGGGAACTGGCACATGTATCTGGTTCTAGAGGACTGAGTTGTTTCTACTTCTGCCCCACATCACAGTCACCATATCCTTTTCTTTTCTATCACCAAGAATATATAAAGATAGTAACATAAGTCTTATTCCTTCTACAAACACACTGACTGAAATGATCACTAGTGATTTCAACTTCCGGCTGAAAAGGGGTACCCAGAATTCAGTCCAGTTGACAACACCTCTTAAAATCATGGGCTGACATCTCCACTCCTTTCTATCCAATCCCCCCCACGAAGCTCCACATTACGTTAGGCGTCCCGCCTCTAATTCCCCCAGGACTCTGTGCTGCCAGTTAATAGCATTTATCATCACAATATCCACTTGTCTTTCTCCTTAATTGTACACTGCTTTGAAGTAGGAATTGTGTCCTACTTTTCTCTGTATCTCCAATGCTTAAAAGTGCATTAAATATAGCAGTTGAATAATAAATGGCCATAAAACGAATAAATACAGTAAATGTATAAATAATTTTTTTTTCAGTACAAAATCCATGAAATGTTTATGGAATTTAAAAATGCCACAACTGTTCAAGGAAGTAAGATAGGACACAAACAGATGGAGAAACATTCCACGCTCATGGTCAGGAAGAATCAATATTGTGAAAATGGCCATACTGCCCAAAGTAATTTATAGATTCAACACGATCCCCACCAAGCTGCCAATGACCTTCTTCACAAAACTGGAAAAAACCACCTTAAACTTCATATGGAACCAAAAGAGAGCCCACATAGCCAAGACAATCCTAAGCAAAAAGAACAAAGCTGGAGGCATCATTTACCGACTTCAAACTATACTACAAGGCTACAGTAATCAGAACAGCAGGGTACTGGTACCAAAACAGAGATATAGACCAGTGGAACAGAACAGAGGCCTCTGAGGCAATACCATACATCTACAACTATTTGATCTTTGAAAAACCTGACAAAAATAAGCAATGGGGAAAGGATTCCCTGTTTAATAAATGGTGTTAGGGGCCAGGAGCGGTGGCTCAAGCCTGTAATCCCAGCACTTCGGGAGGCCAAGGTGGGTGGATCACGAGGTCAAGAGATGGGACCATCCTGGTCACCATGGTGAAACCCCGTCTCTACTAAAAATAAAAAAATAAAAAAATAAAATAGCTGGGCATGGTAGTGCACGCCTGTAATCCCAGCTACTCAGGAGGCTGAGACAGGAGAATTACCTGAACACAGGAGGCGGAGGTTGCGGTGAGCCGAGATTGCGCCATTGCACTCCAGCCTGGGTAACTAGAGCGAAACTCTGTCTCAAAAAATAAATAAATAAATGGTGTTGGGAAAACTGGCTAGCCATGTGCAGAAAGCAGAAACTGGACCCCTTCCTGACACCTTATACTAAAATTAACTCCAGACGGATTAAAGACTTAAACATAAGACCTAACACCATAAAAACCCTAGAAGAAAACCTAGGCAAAACCATTCAGAACATAGGCATAGGCAAGGACTTCATGTCTAAAACACCAAAAGCATTGGCAACAAAAGCCAAAATAGACAAATGGGACCTAATAAAACTCCACAGCTTCTGCATAACAAAAGAAACAATCATTAGAGTGAACCAGCAACCAACAGAATGTGAAAAAATTTTTGCAATCTACACATCTGACAAAGTATTCTGACAAAATATCCAGAATCTACAAAGAACTAAAACAGATTTACAGGGAAAAAAAAAAAAAAAAAAAACCTATTCAAAAGTGGGCAAAGGACATGAAGAGACACTTTTCAAAAGAAGACATATACGAGGCCAACAAACCTATGAAAAAATGCTCATCACCACTGTTCATTAAAGAAATGCAAATGAAGGAGGAGGACTCAAGATGGTGGTGTGAGAACAACCCAGGATTGGAGCTCTCGTTGAATCCACAAACGGTGAGTCGGAGCTGCATTTCCAGACTGATCTTTGTTGCCCACAGAACGGGGAAACTCCCAAGTATAAAAAAGACACAGGACGCCAGGCAGTAGGTCTGCCTGGCGAAGCTGGCAGCCGGGGCAGCGGCGGCCGGCCCTACCCAGCAATCCCCACAGGGCGCGCTTGTCCGGGTGCCCTGTTGAACCGGCAACCTGAGACTTGAGAGGGCTGGACTTGAGACTGAACGAGACTTGGACAGTAGGCCAGCCCAGGGTATTGCAGGGACAGATCGTTTGGGACACCCAGTGGGACGAACAAAATCACGATTTCAAACTATCCCGAGCAGACGGTCCGAGACGCTCTGTGGGGGAGGGGCGTCCACCACTACCGAGGCAACCCGCCCCAACTGAGATACACGCCCCCTGCTGACGCAGCCAGCCATTGCTGAGGCAACCGCCCCAACTGAGATACACACCCACTGCTGACGCAGCCTCCCGTTGCCGAGGCAACCCATCCCTACTGAGATACACGCCCACTGCTGACGCAGCCTGCCGTTGCTGAGGCAACACGCTACAACGAAGAGACTCTGCCTCAGGGCGTGGCGGAGACCACAGCAGAGCCTGCAGGAACAGGGCCAATCACACAACAGCAGGGCGGAGCCTCGGCAGCCAAACAGTGGCTAGTCTGCCTTCTAGCTGGGCAGGACACCTCATCGGACATCGAAAAATAAAGCCCGAACCCCCCAACACAGAGCATTTGAGAAAAAAAGGGTTTTTTTTAATGAGCTCTGTTGCAGCAGAATCAAACATAGCAGCCTAACAGCCCTGAATGAACAACAGAGCTCACAGCTCAGCAATTGAGCTCTAAAAAAGTACAGACTGTCTCCTCAAGCAGCTCCCTGACCCCTCTATATCCAAAAGACTGACATTTGGCAGGCATCATCCTGGGACAAAGATAGCAGAAAAAGAAACGGGTAGCATCCCTCACTGTGCCACAGCTGCTAGAGGTGCACCCCAGACAAGCAGGGCCTGGAGTGGACCTCAGCAGTCGTACAGCGAAGGGGCTAGGCTGGTAGAAGGAAAACCAAGTAACAGAAATACTTCATCATCAACAATCTGGGTATCCACTCAGAGACCCAATTGAAAAGTCAGCAACTACGCAGACGACAAGCGGATAAACCCACAAAGATGGGAAGAAACCAGCGAAAAAAGGAGGAAAACACCCAAAACCAGAACACCTCGCCTCCTAGAAAGGACCAAAACTCCTCACCAGCAAGGGAGCAAAGCTGGACGGAGAATGACTGTGACGAAATGACGGAATTAGACTTCAGAAGGTGGATAATGAGAAACTTTTGTGAGCTTAAAGAACATGTATTAAATCAATGCAAAGAAACTAAGGAACTTAAAAAAAGATATGAGGAAATGATACCAAGAATGGATAACTTAGAGAGGAATATGAATGAATTAAAGGAGCTGAAAAATACAATACGAGAACTTCGCGAAGCATGCACAAGTTTCAATAGCCGAATTGACCAAGCAGAAGAAAGAATATCTGAAGTCGAAGACCAACTCAATGAAATAAAACGAGAAACCAAGATTAGAGAAAAAAGCGCAAAAAGGAATGAACAAAGTCTCCAAGAAATGTGGGACTATGTGAAAAGACCTAATCTACGTTTGATAGGTGTACCAGAAGGGGACGAAGAGAATGAATCCAAGCTGGAAAATACTCTTCAGGACATCATCCAGGAAAACTTCCCCCACCTAGCAAGACAGGCCAACACTCAAATGCAGGAAATACAGAGAACACCACAAAGATATTCCGCAAGAAGAGCAACCCCGAGGCACATAATCGTCAGATTCAACAAGGTTGAAATAAAGGAGAAAATACTAAGGGCAGCCAAGAGAAAGGTCGAGTTACCCACAAAGGGAAGCCCATCAGACTCACAGCAGATCTCTCGGCAGAAACACTACAAGCCAGAAGAGAGTCGGGGCCAATATTCAACATTCTTAAAGAAAAGAACTTTCAACCCAGAATTTCATATCCAGCCAAACTGAGCTTCAGAAGTGAAGGAAAAATAAAATCCTTTGCGAACAAGCAAGTACTCAGAGATTTTGTCACCACCAGGCCAGCTTTACAAGAGCTCCTAAAAGAGGCACTAAACATAGAAAGGAACAACCAGTACCAGCCATTCCAAAATCACACTAAAAGTTAAAAGAGCATCAACATAATGAAGATTCTACAACAACTAACAGGCAAAACAGCCACGTAGCATCAAAATGGCAGTATCAAATTCACACATAACAATATTAACCCTAAATGTAAATGGACTAAATGCACCAATCAAAAGACACAGACTGGCAAATTGGATAAAAAGCCAAAACCCATCAGTGTGCTGTATCCAGGAAACCCATCTCACATGCAAGGATACACAAAGTCTCAAAATAAAGGGATGGAGGAAGATTTACCAAGCAAATGGAGAGCAAAAAAAAGCAGGAGTTGCAATTCTCATCTCTGATAAAATAGACTTTAAAGCAACAAAGATCAAAAGAGACAAAGAAGGACATTACATAATGGTAAAAGGATCGATAAAACAAGAAGAGCTAACGATCCTAAACATATATGGACCCAATGCAGGAGCATCCAGATACATAAGGCAAGTTCTTAATGACTTACAAAAGGACTTAGACTCCCACACAATAATAGTGGGAGGCTTTAACACTCCACTGTCAATATTAGACA